GTTGTTCTCTGACCACATGTGCATCTTGGCATGCATGCCTCGCCCCCCACATACCTCAAACGCAGAAAACAAATAAAAATTTAATTTGAAAAATTAAAAAAAAACAAAACACCACTCTGCTGAGAAACAGGTTCCTGCCTGAGTGTCCCATGTGGTGATATGACAGGGCTAAGCATCCTTGAAGGCATTCAACCTTCCTGACATCAGGGAAGGAGGAAGCTCTCTGTTCCTCTCTTTGTGCTGCTTGAATCATTTATGCAAAACCAAGATCTTTAAAGACACACATGTGGCCGAAGAAAGCCATGTACGTTTGGTCCTGTGTCCGTCTGACCACACCACCCATGAGGCAGCTGTTCAGAGGGACAGATTGCTTTCGCCCCAGGGGCCATCAGAAGCCTAAAAGTAAATCCCAGGGAATACGCCTTCCTCTTGTGGCCCACAGTAAGCTTCCTGTCATGAAGGGACTGCCATTCGTCCTGACAACTTGGCCATTCTCTCTGTCCCATTGGGGTAAAACTGGAGAGAAAAGCAAAGGGAAACGACAAAGGACGTGATTTTCCTCTCTGTCAAGTGAAGAATTTCCAGCCAGTTTGGTGCCCACGGTTTCCAAGCTGTCTTGAATGAAAACCAGCCTTGCAGCTTATTCATAGTGGAGCATTGCCCAGCAAATAAAAAAATAAAGCTCATCAGATGGTTAAGGGCTCTGAGAAAAGGAAGCAACATGCTTCGACACACTTCCCCCAGACGCCTTCTCCAGTGTAATAGATGTGAAGTCACTGCAAAGCAACGGGACATTTACCAGGTCCCTTCAAACAGCACCTGCCAAAGAGTTCACAGCGTCCCGCTTCTAGCCCCGGGCTTCCTGTGGGGAGTGCTTTTGATCATGTCATTTTGGTTTGTCCCACAAAGCATGTCTCAAACCAAGAGGGAAAGAGAAGTATTTACCTCACAGACCCGAGTTGTTAGCCCAGATCTTTTCTTTTTCCTCTTCCTCTTCTGTTGTTTTTTCCCTGCTAGCTGTACCTTCTGAAGCTTTCTTCTTACCCTCTCCAGAGTGGCTTAGGCTTCACAGCAGAATACAAGGGAACAGTTACAGGAAGAGGGAGATAAATGCACAGCCTCTTACCCTGTGCAAACTCAGACTCTGGAGCTGCTTGCTCATTGTGCCCTCAGGTCTGCAGACTCAGGTATCCTTGTATGTCCTGGGAGCATTAAATAAGCTGCCTCATATCAGAGTGGGCAGGCAGGAGAAACTGTTAGGCAAAGTGACAGGATAAACTGTAGGCGGCCATGGAGAGGAGGCTTCCTACAAAGCTGGTTGTCAGCTGTTCCCCTCAGGAGACACCCAGCCTAATTGGCTTCTTTGTCTAAGCAAATGGTCATTTGTGGTTCTGAATACATTTAATTTTTAACAACTGTGAGCCTTGTACTCAAACAAAAGTTGGAATTAATCAGTCGAGAGATAATGTAAAATAGCATCATAGGGCTCAGTGGTGGTGGTGCGGGGCCGTTGTTCTTCCAGAGGACCTGGGTTTGGTTTCCAGCATCCAAAGTAGGCATCTCATAACTGCCTGTATCTCCAGGTCTAGGAAATCCAACACTTTCTTCCACCCTACGAGCACACCTGCACACGTGGCACATATACAGACACACACGTACATAAAAATTAAAATATAACTAAAAAGTCTTCACTGCAGAGATGTGTGGGTCTGTGTGTACACACGCACGTGTGTATGTCTGTCTGTCTATGTGTACATGTGCGTGTATATGTGTCTCTGTGTATATGTATCAGTCTGTGTATTTGTGTGCATGTGTGTGCAACCTTAAAAATGTGGACTATAACCTGATTTCACTTCTAAATTTTCATAATTTCTTTCTGGCTTTGCTAACTTTGGTCCCCACTGCAAGATATGGAGCTTAGTGGAGGTGTGCCACGTCGGAAAGGTGGCAGGCTCCCTGTGTCCTGCTGTGTTCATCTGTTAAAGGAGGTGAGGAATGGTACCTACATCACTGGGTTGTTAGTGTGTTAGAGTTCATGACAGGTACTTGATAAGCTTCGGGTCCAATAGCATAGCGAAGTGCATGAATTTAACTTCATTTCAAAGAATAACAGTGGTCGGGTCAGGCTGCGTGCTGCCCTATGAGACTCAGTATTGCATTAAGCAGGGATTCTCTGTCTGGGCCTTTCTCTGAGCGGCTCCATTTGAAATGCAGCCTCTGACTCCATTCTAACTACAGATGCAGAAGCCGGATGATTCCGCACCATGTTCTGTACAACCACCCGTGAGACAGAGAATGACAAATAACTTATTCTTAAAAGTAGAAGAGGCACAAGCCTATAAATGTGCCCTGGTGGATTAGGACCACGTGTGCACATGGGCATGTTACAGTCATCCCAGGAAAACCATGCTTGAGAGCTTACTGGACACAGAACTGTGAACTGCCATGTAAAAGTTCAGTCACTTTTGTGGACATGATGAAGAAGGAGACACTGAGGTGTCAGACACGTGAGTGAAGAAGTTGTCTTTATATCCAGCCAAATCTTTCGATAACGGCCCGATTAGCCTGTTTCCCATTGCTCTAATGGAGTATCCAAGGCTGAATACTTTATAAAGTAAGGAGGTTTATTCATCTCACGGTTTTAAGAGCCGAACGTGCAGAAAAGCAGGATGACAGTGTTTCTGGCTGCCACAGAGCTGTCAGCACATGTGTGAAAGAAAGAGTTCACATGGGAAGACAGGAAGTCAGAGAACACAGAAGACCCATCTTGGTCTTCTGTACAACCTGCTGTCACAAAACCAACTCCAAGGTCCGTGAGAACTACTTAATTCATTCCAAGCACAATAGCCATCACACCCCACTAAGCTCCATGTCTTGAAGGTCCTCTATATCGCCACAGTAGGTACCAGCTTTTCAACACATGAACACTATAGTAGACAAACAACCCGCAAACCACAGCATCCCACTTCTGACTGTTACTAACCGTACCTGAGGAGAGGACTGGATGCTGTGGGGCCTGGTGCCGCTGGGAGACCTTGAGATATACTGACTGACACATTGTTCAAATCATTTAGTTCTGGAGTTGTTTTGTTTCAGCAGTAAATAGCCAGAGCAATATTTACTTAACTGCCATTAGTTTCCACTGACTAGAACTCTATGCTTTCATTTCATATTAATTTGTTTTATGTGCAAATCTTGCCTTTTCCCTATGAGGTTTCTGATATAGACATTTTTGGTGCTCTTAAGAAAAGAAAAATGTCAGCCTCAAGGGCAGAAATCACAAGATCAGTAGTTGAATCTGAAAAATAATCCAACATTGCTTCACGGTAAAAGTCCTGAAGAAACTTGGAATAGAAATAACTATCTCAACATAATAAAGGCAATCTATTACAAACTTAAAGCCAATACTATGCTAAATGGGGAAAACCGCAAAGTATTTGCATTAAAATCGGGGAAAAGGCTGGAATGTCCACTTTCTCCACTACTATTGAATATAAAGCTAGCTCTCTTTTGTAATGGATTATCGGTGCATTTTATTGAATCAGCACAGTACAAAAATAAATAACAATAAGGGACGGGGAATTAAATTACAACCAAACTGAGCTCCATGAATTTGTCAGATTATAAACCACACATACATACAGAATGAGGCAAATATAAATTAATAGTAACAATATCTGCAGTTTGGTCAAAGAATAACTACAGAAGAAATTTCACTTAAAAACCAACATACATCACATGTGTATAATTGCAGTTTCGGATACACAGCTATGAATAATTCTGGAGAGGGAGAAAATGGCACATTTTTCTTTTCATTGCAAGTTTAACAACTGCTGGAACAAAACTAAATTCTAATAACTATATAGAAAGAATATATCAACCCCTCAGGTCTATAAGAAAAAGGAAAACCCAATTCCGAAAGCGTTCTTCCGCGGCGTGCGCTCTGCATGGTGTAATCTCACAACCATCTGTTCTAAGGTTATTTTTCTTACGATACAAAATGCTCCTGGTTTGCAGCATGATATTACTGTAAAAGCAACAATTAAAGAATAAAAGGTTTTGTTTTTTTTAAACTGTTCCCCTTTTCTATTTTTCTATTTTTGTCATCATTCTAAAGGTGATCTCACTGTAGCATGGCAAATGTGTCCATTGGTTGCACACTCGAGAATATCAGTGTTCCTTTATCCGGTACTGATGACCAGCGCAGGGGAGAGAGGATACACGGCTTCACGACAGAATGAGTCATTTCTTCAGAGCTAGAATTCTTCACTAGCTCAGCCAAATAAGAGAAGCTAGCTAGAGAGACCAAACAGGAAAATAGGTCAAGGGGTCTCATTTGCAGAAGACATCATTCTGTGGACCCTAGACCCTAGAGAATCCATCCTAAAGCTGTTAGAAGTGATGGGCTCTTTCAGCAAAGGGACAGGATAAAAAATTTACATGCCAAAATCAGCAGCTTTCCACATATAACAAGCATGCTGAGGAGGTAATTAGGGAAACAATCCCATTTGTAACTGCTTTAAAAGAATCACCAGGGAATAAATCCAACCAAGGAAAGGAAATGTTTTTGCAATGAAAACTTTGCAACACTCAAGAAAGAAGTTGAAAAAAACACTAGAAGACGGAAAGACTATCCTGCTCATGGCTTGGAAGATTCTATGTCATGCAAACAGCTGTCCTACCAAGAGCAATCCACAGGTTCAATGCAATCCTCATCAACACCCCAGTGACATGCTTCAAAGAAACAGACAGATCGATCTTAAAATTCATTTTTAAGCACAAAAGACTTCAGAGAGCTGAGGTAATCCTGAGAGAAAAAATAATGAAATAGTAAAAGTATAGCTTAAAATCAGATATGATGATACTTTTAAGATTGGTATGTCTTTTTCTTTGGCAGAAAAGCAAGTCTGTGGCTCAGTGGAGCAGAACTGGAGATCCAGATGTGAAGCCTGGAGCTACAGTCACATGATCCTTGACAAAATGTCAAATATACACGAGTGATCTTTTTTGGTTCACAAGCATGATGATTGGGTCTTCATGCTGTTGCATGCATGTACTGACCTCAAACCTTGTTATGCATCCACGTATCACCCATCAGAAGTGAAAATAATACACGTGAGCAAAAAATGTCAGTCTCTAACAAATGGCGCTGGGAAAACTGGATATCCGTGTGGATAAATGAAACTAGATCCTTATCTCTTATCCTGTTCAAAACCCAACTTTAGAAGACCATGGACCTTAGCCTAAGACCGGAAACTCTGAAACTATTGGAGTAAAAAGCAGAGAAAATACTTCAAGATAAAGGCATCAGCCATTTCTGAATATGACTCTAGTTGCTCAGAAACTAAGACTAAAGATTGGCAAATGGGACACTGTAAAATTAGAAGGCTTCTGTACAGCAAAAGAAAGAGTGAATCAGGTAGAGAGACGGCCTAAGGGACGGAAGAAAATGCTTGCCACTTGTCCATCAAAAAGAAGTATTAGTATCTAGAATACACAAAGAACTCAAAAAACTAAATAACAAGAAAACAAGCCAATCAAACAGGAACCTAGTAAAGTGAACAGAGCTCACCACCTACAGATTCCCGTCGCGAGATTCTCAGTCTGTTACTGCTGTGACTTCCGTCGGTGAGAGACTGCCGCCTGGGACTTGTGAGATGAAATGAACCCTTTCATCCTCGGGTTGGTTTTGGTTATGGTGTTTGTCACAGAAATGCAGAAAAAACTGGAACAGATGCTACAAGGGTAAAGGTAGGCAAATAGATTTTGTAAGGGCAAAGGCAATTTCACAAACCCAAATTATACTACAGTCATTTAGCACCCCATTTTCTATTATGGTTTTAAGAATGGACATGTATACATATTAGCACCACTAAATGGAGACCTCGCTAAGTGGATACACACACACACACACACAGAGACACATACACACACACACACACACACACACACACATTCATGTGCAACAATCATTAAAGAAGATGTCAGAAAGCTGAGAGGAAATGGGGATTTGGAAGGTAAGAGGGTGTGGCAGAAATTATGTGAATACAATACTCACATAGGAAATTCTAGAAAGACCCCCCAAAATTTAAAGTGTAAAGAAAGAACGCAGAGGGTGCTACACATCATGAAATTAGAAGCCTCCCAGATTCTGTGTGTGGGCGTCGCCGCTGCCTTATTTGAAGAGCACTCCTATAAATAAGCCAGGCTGCCAGTCAGTCCACGTGCAGACAGAGCATTGTCTCAGATAGGAGTTGTCTGAGTTTGGTACAAGATGGTGCGTCATATGTCAGAGCTTATGCCTGCCGGTGAAGCCAAATGCGGAGAACATATGCTCGGGAGAAAAATATTTGCAAGTCTTGGTGCTTATCAAAAATTAATGAGAACAACTGTGTATGTTTAGACAATTTGGGGTTTATAAACAGATCAGGAGGGTTAATTGTAGTAACTGGTTTTTATAAACAGTCATATGGTTTTGTCAAGCTGTAATGTTCTTTCTACACTTGGACTCTCAGATTATTACACACACCCAAGCTTCCTTCCACAGATGTGTATGAACACACACACACACACACACACACACACACACACACACACTTCTAGTTATTTCTCTATTGTTATGATCAAACACTCTGACTATAACCAGCATGGGGAGGAAAGGGTTTGTTTGACTTACCTTCATGGAGGGAAACCAGGGCAGGAGCTCAAGGAGGAACCTGGAGGCAGGAACTGAAGCACAGACCACGGAGGAACGCTGCTTACTGGCTTTCTCCCTTGGCCTACTTTCTTGCACAACCCAGGACCACCTACTTGGTTGGTGGCACAACCCATAGTGGGATGGGCCCTCCCACATTAAATAGCAATTAAGAAAATGCCTCACAGACATGGCCATAGATTAGTCCTATAGCCAAAATTCCCCAAGTGAGGTTCCCTCTTCTCAGAAGTGTCAAGCTGACCGCTGAAGCTCTCTAGCACACACACAGGCACATACGGAGAGGCACCTGTATCTGTTTGTTGCATAGGTATCAAAAGCCGGATGAATAGATCCTGTAGTTCAAAGTCCTTTTTCCTCTGAAGTTTAGAAAATTTTTCATTAAAAGTTCACTTGTAGAGCTGGGAAGACAGCTCAAGGTAAGTGCTTCTGTACAAGCGAGGACACGGGTCTGGGTCTTCAAAAGCTGCAGGAAAGCCAGGAGCAGCAGCACGTACCTGTTACCCCAGCACTGGGGAGCAGCACGGGAGGACAGCTCCTGCAGGTCCTTTGGCTAGCCATTACAATAAGCACGCTTCAGTGAGAGATCCTGTGTCAAAAAAATGAGTCTGAAAAGCAGTTGTGAAAAGACAGCCTACATCAATCTCCGGTTCCTACATTCGACCACATAGGCAAGTGCTCCCCGCCAAGCACATGTGCACACAAGCATATTCCATACAAAGAGAGAAAGACATTCTAGCAGAAAGACAGTCTGTTCTCCGGAAATCCATTTCCATAGGGAGTGGGATCTGTGTGTGTCAAACTGAAAACAAGCTACGAAAATGCTGCATGAAGATATCTGCATGTACCTTCCTTGTTCTTAAGCCCCTTCACTTCTGTGCTCTGGTGTAACTTGAATATGGTCTGATGACAGATATTTTCAATCTCATTTCACAGTTGGGTTTGACAAAGTCGGGTCTTGAGCCCTGAGCTGCTCCTCCACCTCCATCTAGTTTGCACTGTAGCTCCTTAGTCTCAGGAGAGAGTCACATCATAGCAGAAGGCAGCTGGCGTTTGAATTGTTTGCTGTTGAATTGCTGGGGAGATCCAGGAGAGCTGTGTGAGGTGCCATTGTTAACGAGGCCTACAATTTTTGAAGTGTCCAGAAATGTTTGGGGAAAGGATGTTTGGCTGCACCATTATGATTTGCCTCTGGTCCTTGGCAACTCGGTGGCATAGTTGACCTCTTTTATCTATCCTTTTCCAGAGGTGATGTTATTTCCTCTTTCTAGACAAACTCCTCAGAACTTGAGAGCCAAACATAAATCCATGCTGTATGCACAGTTCATAATCAGTATGGCTTTGTCTTACAATCATCTATTCTTTATCTATTATTATCCTGGTTCAATAATATCAAATATTATCAAATGATATCTATTAATATTAATATTATCAAATAATATCTATTAATATCAAATAATATCTATTATTATCCTGGTTCAATAATATCAAATATTATCAAATGATATCTATTAATATTAATATTATCAAATAATATCTGTTAATATCAAATAATATCTATTATTATCCTGGTTCAATAATATCAAATATTATCAAATAATATCTATTAATATCAAATAATATCTATTATTATCCTGGTTCAATAATATCAAATATTTCCCTGTTGTGCCCATCACACTGATGGTAATAATCAGTTTTTATCATACTGTGACAAAACGCAACTCAACAGAGGGAAGATACATTTTCTCTCACTTTCTGAGTTTCAGTTCATCATGGTAGGAAAGACAGGGTGGAGCTGAGCTGCTCTGTCACACAGTCAGAAAAGAGAGCATTAGTCATTCTTACACAGAGAGAGAGAGAGAGAGAGAGAGAGAGAGAGAGAGAGAGAGAATATAACCGCACCACTAATTTTTTCCTTTACTACTTTTCTGTCTCAGCACCCACCTCACAGGATGCTGCTGGCCACAGCAGGTGTGCGGTTCACCTTTAGTTAATTCCCTCTGGTAAAATCCTCAGACACACTCAAAGATGTGCTTTACTAATCTAAACACTTTTAGTCTGATCTAATTCACAAGGATAACCGCAATATTGCCTTAACTCAGCTCGCTCTGAGACCTCCTACTGTCCACTAGCTGCCCTGGGCCTTTAGTCTCTTCTTTCTTAAGTCTACCCATGACAGTTACTTTCCTAATCCAAATCTGATCCTGTCAATGACCAAAGCTCAGATGTCCTCAAGTGTTTTCTGTGCAAAGAAAATAGTTTTATTCTAATTACAGGATCAGGAGGAAGTAGCATTTATTTGCATGCACCTATACTTGTAATGCAAGAGTGTTTAAAGTGGTTTTATCTTAATGTTTTAAGTCATAACTTGTTAGATGAGGTACCAAGGGGGCTGTGACACAGGAGGAACATTGTAGGCAGTTTCAGTCACAGTATGGAACAGCGCTGTCCCAGCCACGGGGTCATTTCAAACTTGCTGGTAACAGTGGATGCCACGGAACGAATGATGTTGTCCTAGCTTCCAGCAGGGCGGTAATAGGAAGTGGGCTTTCGATCTGAAACCTTATAAAAGGAGGCCCCAGAAAGTTTCCTCGCCATTCTACCTTATGAGCACAGCAGACAGATGACCATCTATGGATCAGGAAGCAGGTTCTCATCAGACACTGGCTCTATTGAACTTCCCAGTCTGGACCGCTCTGAGGGTGTACTACTGTTCTTTACGGGCTCCAGTTTATGGTATTTTGTTGTAGCAGATTATACTAAGATACCAAGATATCTAAGATACTGCACTAAATAAAAGCCTAAATGGATATTCATTAATTAAGATATTTTATTGAATTATAGCTACAGATGCATAGTGAGCTATCAATTTGTAACATATTGACCTGCTATAATATTTTGTCTGCTCTATATGCATGCTATGCATTGTGTATTAGGGAGTAGACCTAGCATATCTGCATTTGATCATATAAGCAATATAAAGTTTATTGAAATGTTTGCACTGTCAACACTATGTCTTTGGAATTCAGTCAGTTTATTACTCTCCTCCTCAGTTCAGATTAACCATAATTTGAAATACAAGAGCCCACTGGCTGCTATGTTTGACAGCATGAAGTCACAGCACTGTATCATCTCTTGTTTCCTATCATGCTGGACAGCTTCAGTTGTCAACATGACGCATCTGGGCAGATGGAGCCTCAACTGGGGAATTCCTCTATGGATTGGCCTGTGGACATGTCCGAGAGGCATTTCCTTTTCTTTCTTGAAAGAGTTAATACTTATTTATTTATGTATTTTGTGTGTTTTGCCTGCATGTATGCAAGTGCATCCATGTAATGCAATTCCCTTTGAGGCCAGAAGAGGGCAAACACCTGGAACTGGAGTTAAGG